AGCAGAGGGTGTGCAGCCCACACAGGGCCTGTGCAGACCACAGGCTGCTGTGTGCTTGGAGGGAGCCTGCTGCGTGTGTCTGCAGAGAGAACCCTGGAATCCAGATTTCTACCTGAAACCTCTCCATACTTCCATGTTTGACGATCGATAATGTTTCTTTGTGATTGATTTTTAAATGCGAAGCTCTTTTCAGGCAAGCGAAACACACCTGCAAGCTGCCATTACACAATCTTGTGTTGATCACCTTCAGGCCTTCATTGCCTTTTACACAAAAGCTGGGAACATTCCCCCTCTTTCAAGCATTCAACTGGTTTAGTGACCAGGAAGAGATTTTCTGGTACACATTTTAATAAAAGTAGACCATGAAAGAATATTTCAAAGAAACTAGTTTAAATTCATAACTATTCGGTGTTAGATGTGATGTGCTTGTCCCTTAAACTAGGCCACTCTGCACCTTGCATTCCAGTCCCTTCAGAAATTGCAGCTTTTGCCTGGAGATGCTGGGCCTCCACACTGCTGGCCTCCCGTCATTCCAAGAACGACACCCTGGGAAGAGGCTGTTCAGATCCTTTGTGGTTGGACTCTACTGTAAGAAGAGAATCGAATGCATGCAAGAAAACCATAAAGCAGAATTTCCTAAAACACTTTCCACAAGCCATGAGTGCCAGGAGTGCCTTGAAAACAGCATTCAATCATCAAATCAAAGTAGGGAAATGTACTTAAGTGTGCATAAGTATGTTGAGACCTCCAGAGTCCAGAGTTGAAAACAAACCTGTACACAAAAACTAAAGTATTTTTTAAGTTATCTGTTTTTGTTAGTTTGTTTTGTTTTTGTTTGTTTTTTTTTGAGAAAGGGTCTGGCTCTGTCACCCAGGCTGGAGTGCAGTGGCGCAATCTCGGCTCACTGCAACCTCCGCCTCCTGGACTCAAGCAATCCTCTCACCTCACTCTCCCGAGTAGCATGCCACCATGCCCAGCTAATTGTTTGTATTTTTGGTAGACACAGCATTTCACCTTATTGCCCAGGCTAATCTTGAACTCCTGAGCTCAAGCCGTCCTCCTGTCTCGTCCTCCCAAAGTGCTAGGATTACAAGTGTGAGCTACCAGACCCAGCCTAAACTATCTTTAACCCACCATTTTCCTCAAATTATTTTTAGCAGATAGCTATTTTTTTTAATAAACCCTTTTACTATCCCAGGTACTAATAGGAAATACTTTGAGAAATATGACCCAGGACCCAGCAGTGAGCTTCTCACACACCTGACTTCACATCCAGGGGAAGGAAATCCGTGGCCTGCTGAAAAAAGAGATTAAGAAACTAAAAAGCATCCCCAACATTTTTACTTCCAAAAACCCTGAGAAATGCTATGAATAAAAGCAAATAGCACGAAAGACTTAAATCTGCTGTGCTGCTGATTTGCATGAAATTAGTGGTCTAAAGACTCCTGTCAGAAGGCAAACTTGTGAGAATGGGTGAAGCCCTGGGGCCCACCTCTGTAGTGTGTGTCAGAGATGACCTTTGTGTATACAGGTAGAAATGAGGTGGAAGAGAAAAGATGGAGAAAAACTGCAAACAGTAATCCTGGGAACGCTGGGGAGTACCAAGTATACTAAAAACAGTTGTGTCTGATGAAAGAGCTTGAATTATGTGAGAAAAACTGACACCTGAAAGATGAAATAAATCCACAATTACAGTCATACCCTTCTGCATTCCCGTCAGAAACTGCTAGGCAGAAAGTCAGTAAGAGCACAGAAGGCTTGAAAACACTAAAGCCCAGCTTGATCTACTTGACATTGCTAGATCATTCCGTCCCACACACGCGGGCCGTAATTATGTTCTGATGGAACACTGGTCAAAGTACACCACATTCTGAGCCAGGAAACAAGACTCAATAGAGCTAAAAGAACAGAAATCACATATCATACATTTTCTGAATGCAATAGAATTAATTTAAAAGTCCATGGTAATAAGAAAGCTGGAAAATCTTTACATATTTGGAAACTAAATGACACCCCTCTAAACAAATCATGGACCAAAACATATTACAGTGTTGTGAGGGTTAATATTAGGTGTCGCCTCGACCGGATGGAGGATGCCCAGATGGCTGGAGAAGCCTTGTTCCTGGGTGTGTCTGTGAGGGTGTTGCAGAGGGGCTGATATTTGAGTCTGGATTTGGGAGAGGAATACCCATTCTCACGTGGCTGGGCACCCTCCAATCGGCTGCCAGCTCGGCTAGGACAGAGCAGGCTCCCGTGCGCTCCTCCCACCCTTGGACATCAGACTGCAGGTTCTTTGGCCGTGAGACTCTTAGACCAGTGGTTTGCTGGGGGCTCTCAGGCTGCCAGCCACACACTGAAAGCTGCATTGCTGACTTCCTTGCCTTGGAGGCTTCTGGATTGAGACTGAGCCTCTGCTGCTTCCTTCCTCAGCTTGCAGATGGCCTATTGTGGGACTTCGCCCTGTGACTGTGTCGGCCAATTCTATTCATCAACTCCCTTTCTTGTGTACCTGTATCCTATTAGCTCTGTCCCCCTGGAGAACGCTGATCAATACAAAGTAGATTTGCTTCCCAGGTGGACATAGAAAGTGCCACAGCCTGGGTGGCTTAAAACCACAGAACGTTCTCTCTCATAGTTCTGGAGGCCAGAAGTACACTATCGGTTTTACTGGACAGAAACGAGGTGCTGCCCTCAGAGACTCTGGGGAGACTCTATGCCTTGGCCCTTCCAGGCTCTGTAGCTCTAGACAGCCCTTGGCTTGCGGCCCCAGCACTGCAGTCTCAGTCTCCGTCCCCTCATCACCCTCTCCTCTGTGCATCTGTGGTCACACTCCCTCCGCCTCCCTCTTCTAAGGATCTGTGTGATGGTGTTCAGGGTCCACCAGGAGAATCTGGGCTGACTCCTTACAAGATCTTTAATCTAACCACATCTTTCTATCACATAAGGTCACAGTCACGGGTTCCAGGAATTGACTGTGGGCATTTCTTCAGAGCCACCATTCAGCTCACCACACAAAGGAAATTACAAAAATCCAATACGAAGGAAACAGATACAGGAAGGAGAAAGCCATTCAGAGACGCAGACACCACGTGTCCACCAACCAGGGAAATGTCACGGACGGCCAGAGGCTGCCAGAACTGGAAGAGGAAAGAAAGGCTCTCGCAGAGCCTTCAGGGGGTGAGGCCCCCTCACCCGGAGGTAGAGCCCTGGCCTCCAGCCCAGTGGAGGATTTGATTCTGATGTTTGTTTCTGTTACTCTGGTACAGCAGCTCGAGGAAATTCGGACAATGGTCGGGGGTTTTCCTCCTGAACCACAAATTTGGTCTAATCTAGGAAAAGCAAATACCTTTCATACTAACATAAGAAAAAATCATCTCAACATGTCTAGAAAAACTCATTTAACATCCATGATTAAATAAAACATCTCAGCAAACTAGAAATAAAAAGAACGTTAACTGGATAAAGAGCATCTAGGCCACACCTGTGGCTAGTATGGTACCTGATACTGAAAGACTCAGCTCGCTTTCCCTAAGGCCGAGCAGGGTTAGATGTGTGCTCTCCCCTCTTCTGTTCAACATTGTATCCGCCAGTGAAATAAGCCAAGAAAAGAACTAGAAGGTGCACAAATGGGAGAGGCAGAAGAAAATCTATCTTCATTTGCAAATGACAGGACAACGTATATAGAAAATGCTAAGGAACTGCTATCTAGTAGCTTTTTACTTTTTTTTTTTAATTCCTAATTAGATAGTAATTGAGCAAGTTTGTAGGCTGCAAGGCCAATATAACAAAAGCCCTTCCTATGTCCACATGCGAGCAATGCAAATATCAGAAATGAAATTAAAAATAAGAACTTTTACTGACTGGCCGCAGTGGCTAACACCTGTAATCCCAGCACTTTGGAAGGCTGAGGCAGGCAGATCACCTGCAGTCAGGAGTTTGAGACCAGCCTGACCATCGTGGAAAACCCTGTCTCTACTAAAAATACAAAAATCAGCCAGCAATGATGGCAGGCGCCTGTAATTCCAGCTACTCGGGATACTAAGGCAGGAGAATCATTTGCACCCGGGAGATGGAGGTTGCAGTGAGCCAAGATCATACCATATTCTAGCCTGGGTGACAGAATGAGACTTTGTCTCAAAAAAAGAAAAAGAAAAAGAAAAAAAAAAAAAAAACTTTTACAATAGCGTAAAAGGCGTGCTTAGGGAGAAAATTAACAAAATAAGTGTAAGGCCTGGAAACTACACTGCAAATATAATACACTGATGAGAAACATTACAGAGGACTTAGATCAGTGAAATGCAGAGTGAGTCCATGGGTTGAATTGGTCAGTATTATTAACATACTAATTCTTCTGACATTGATGTGTATACTCAATGCAGTCCCCCTATGGCCCCCGGTAAGCACCACACACGTGCACATGCATGTGTGCTAGTCAATGTCCTCTGCACACGTCTGGAGATTTTAATCCTCTGGGTCTTGAATAATCAGGAACCCGGAAATCTTTTTGAAGCCCCACAGATAATTCTGGAGAACAGCAAGGGTTTTAAGGACTGGCCTTCAACACCCAATCAGAAGGCAGAGGTCCTACTGTAAAGGGCAGGGCTGGCGGGGCGCGGTGGCTCCAATCCCCGCACTTTGGGAGGTTGAGGCAGGTGGATCGCTTGAGGTCAGGAGTTTGAGACCAGACTGGCCAACATGGAGAAACCCCATCTCTACTAAAAATGCAATAATTAGCCAGGCAGGGTGGCTCACACCTATAATCCCAGCCACTTGGGAGGCTGAGGCAGGAGAAGGGCTAGAACCTGGGAGGCAGAGGTTGCAGTGAGCCGAGACAGAGCCACTGCACTCCAGCCTGGGCGACAGAGCAAGACTCTGTCTAAAAACAAACAAACAATCAAAAAAACACAGTTGCCTCCTGCTGAATTATAAAAATTAAAAACAAAGACAACTCTGCTTTTACTGACGTTGTCATTAGCATAGAATTTCCAAAAAGGGCCTTTTCTTCCTGCCCTTTCTTTGCTTGCCTCCACACCCCGTGCCTGGCTCACTAATCACACAGGCTGGAGAAGAGGGACAGAGAAAAGCTGCCAACAGCACAGCAGAGCAGAGCCTGCCTCCCTCCAGCTGGGGATGTCGGTAGCTGAAGTGGAAAGCTGGTCGAAGAAAGATGTGGAAAGAACGAGGCCTGACTCAGTTCCTGAAAGGAGCTGCCTGACTTTCTGTGAGCCACAGCTTCTATTCACAAACCCAGGAAGCTGGACGACGTACTGAAAGGATTTCCTAAGATAAGGAGAGCTCGCAGCAGGTACGAAGCAAAGCTCGGTGGAAATGGCAGGTAGAAAAGCTTTCCTGACTGCTTTCTGCTTTGCACAGACTAAGGACTATAGGACAATTTCAAGAGGCTGACATTTTATGAATTGAAGGTATGCCACTTCCATTTACAGTGCTGTGCTGGGAGACTCAATTCTGTCCTTCTTGACGGTCTAAGACAATCTGAACTCTGCATTATGTAAATACTAAGGACTCGGGGTGTTGAGAGGGATACCAACCTCGTATCTCTGTCAGCGCCTGGGGCCACGCTTTTCTTTCACGGAAAGCACAGTAAGTGTAATCGGCTGCTCCTAACCGTGCCTTCCCAGCCAGGGAGACAAAGGAACACGCAGCTCCGGCCACTCACGTGTTTTCCCCAGCCGTCTTTTGTTATGTGGCATGGGAAAAGTCTTAATGAGCCTGCCCGCTGCTGCAGAAATTCTTGTCAGATAAAAAGCAGCCCCTCCTTCCACCTGGCAAGGGCTTACAGAGAACACAGCAGCCCACATCGTCTCGCGTTTCCTGAAACAATCCCCTATTTAACTTCCTAGGCAACCGAAAATCTGAAGAAAATGAGATGCCCTAGAAGGTGAACTTGGTGTAACAAAAAGACGTTTTGAAAGATAAGTAGAGAGGCCGTCCTGCAAAATGTCATGGCTGACAATGGTAGAGATACGGAAAGGAGCATCTGTCCTGCAAAACAGGGAGGGGTTTCAGCTGGGAGGGGTCCCACAGCTGACGCCAGGCGTCCGAGGTAGGGGATGCTGTTCTGCCTTCCTTTTCTTGAAATGCTTGCTGATAGACGGACCTAGTTTTAAACCCTGAGTCATTGTAGTTTAGCCAGCTATGGCTGATGAAAGCACGGCAGTCATCAAAACTCACAGGGAGGCAGGCTCCCTCAAAAACCTGAAATCTGTACACGGGGTACGTGGAGAGAAATGTGACACAGCGTTTGGACACACTTTTAAACCGCAACACGGGACCGTATAGATGACAGCTGGAAACACGTTCTGAGGACGTGAGAAGTTCAGTGTTCACTGGCTTCCTTTTTGAGGTTGTTAAATTGCTGATATGCAAATAAAAATCATTGAGCCATTGTGTCTGTCAGCTGTGCCTCTGTCTCCGCCCGACCCGGCTGGGTAGAGGTCCCCCCACCCCCACCCGGCTTCATTCTCTGTGTTGTCACTGCAGATTCAGATTCAGGTTTCTGCCCTGAATGTCTGCATTCCCTCCCGAGACAGTCTGTTTCAGAATGCACGGCCATTCTTGACAGACAAGAAATGGATATTGAGAAACAAGTCACGCTTTGGATTCGCGTGGCTTTCACATACAAAACCAATGAATTATCTCCTGCCTGGCCTAAAACGCTTTCCCCAGTACCGCAGTCTGAAGGCAGAGTGGGTGGGGAAGATGAAGGTGTCTTCAGGGTGACGGAAGCAATTGTAAATAACCCATGAGTAGCCGGGGAAGGTGGTGCTCACAGATGCGTCCCCTAACTGAGTCAGAGGGCACAAGAGGAGGCGAAGGGAGCCAGTTTTTCGTATGTGTGGTTTAGGAAATGTAAGAGTTGTGTATTTTAGGGCACTTGTGAGACTGAATAATTCCCTTGATCCTTTCAAGGGTGGGAATTGGGGTGCACAGGCTCCGGGTCCAGTGGCCACTTCAGCACTGGCAGGGATGAACTTCACTCAGTCAAACCCGCTGGAGTCAACCTCTCATGAGAGGAAGCACACAGGCGAGTGCTGCTGGGACCCAGGCAAGCAATTTTGGGCTCCGGACCTACAGCAGCATCTCTACATAGGGGCGTGTTATGACTAATGCTCTTCTAGCTTTGCCATCCACAGACGGCTTATGTGTTCAGCAGCTCAGCGAAGAGGCAGTGTGGCAGCCTTTGTGGGTTTCTGCGTCCAGTGCCTCCCAAATTCTTGTCTGGCGTCCAGGAAGAATCAGGTCACACAAATGGTGTGAAAGACGATGAATGTGGAAGATTTTATTAAGTGCTGGAAGTGGCTCTCAGCAGAAGGGGAGCTGGAAGTGGGATGGAGCGGGAAGAAGGTTATCTTTCCCTGAAGCCTGGCCATCTGCAACCAGGCTCCTCTCCAGAGCTGTCCCATCTGAAGCTAAGCAGCATCTATCCGTAGTCTCCAATGCTTGGTTTTGTCTTCTCTTCTCAACGTTCAGCCACTTGTCTCTTTGCCAGCTGGGGCCCGGGTTTATATAGGCATAGGATAGCGGGTGGGGTAAGCCAAAAAGTAACATTTGGGTGGGAAAACAGGGATAATTGTTCTCATTTAAGGCTGCAATTTCCAGGCTTGAGGGTGGGGTCTTTGCCCGGGAACTGCCCTCTTCTACCTGGTATTCCCCTGCCTCGTCTCCGTAGGTAGATAATTATTCTTATGTGGCATAGGTAGGTAATTATTATAATCTGAAAAATAGCTTTGCATTGCAGGGGAAAGCATTCAAAGTTCTGTCAACAACGTATGGAACTCATGTCTATAGAACAAACAGAGAAATAATGTCATATACACAAGCTGCCTCTAGCCTTCTGACAGTTTCAGACTCTGTTTATAAATGTCATGCTAAACTTTAAGGGCTACAAGGACGTAGGCTGTGCCCATCTTGCCTGCCATTACTTACTCAGCATAGCACACAGCAAACACTCCATTAATAGTGGTCACACCAAAAAAATTAGGAGGGCTTGGTGTCATTGAGCTTCTAAACTTGGTTACCCTCCAACCCTGCTCCCACCTCTTGCTAACCTCCTGACCTTCGGCAGAAACCACCAATTTTGCAGTGGACTCTGCGGGCCCCCAAACTCCCTGAAGCAGTGCTGGTTAAATGAGTGAACATTCTAGTCTCTTCTCTGAGCAGACCCATGTGGTCAGCTGAGTCTCAAGTGTACACAAGGAGAAAGACATCCACGGGACGGTGGGGAGTTAGTGAGACCAGTGCCCACAGGGCGTCATGAACCCCACCAGAATCAACCCAGTGCTCTGAGCTCAAACTCTCCTCTTGAAACGACAAGTGTGTGTCCTCTGGCATCAATGCAAGGAGCCTGCACCTGCCAGAAAATTTCCAGCTACCACTCATAGCTCAGCTCCTTGTAAATCTACTGCCGATGAGTTTATCTTGATCCTTCAGGGACCCGTTTAAGCATTCAGCTCTTCAATTTCATGGGGTATTTGCTGAGAGCAACAGACACTTAGGAGAGGCCACGGGCTCTACTTCTTGCAGGAAGTGCCTTAGATTTTCTGGAACGTGGGGAGCAGAACTTGCCCTGTCTACTTCGGCCACACCTGGATAGCTTCCGTCTCCCTTTGTGAAGCCAAAGGCTTTTATTCTGCCTGCATATGAAAAATCATTTTCCTGTTAATTTTGCAGGTGCTTTCTGCCCAGATGAGCTTGCCTCAGGGTTTGGAGATGCTGCTTTTTATCACAGTTACCAGGTCTCCCCTCCCCTCTCTGGGGGGCCCCTCATCTTCTCACGCAGATCTCAGCAGCACTTGATTCCTGCAGGGACTCCCTGCTGCACCAGCCCCACCAGTGCCCGGCAGGTCCCCACCTGCTTGATTCCGTGAAGGCCCGTCTCGTCCCCAGCTCAGATTCTCAGGGGCAGTAACCATGGCTGGTTTCGGTGACAGATTTAGCACCAGCACCGCATACCAAGCCTGAAACAGACGGAGTACTGGCAATATTTGTGTTGCACGTTGTATCAACTTACAACTGCAGGGGAGCTGCGGGTCTGGCTTTCTCTGCTGTGTGACATCCCTATAAAAAATTAGCTGCACCTTCACTTGGGTTTTTGAGCTATGACATATCTTCCATTGGCTTTTTAAAAAAATAAATTCCGGCGTGATCTTGCATTCCACTGGTTTTTAGTAAGGTATTTTAGGATGTCTCCAGGTTCCTTGTGGGTTTTTAGTTCTGAACATTTTCCCCTCTGATCACCGTGGCGTGCTGCCCCTCACCCGCAGTCCTGCACATTTCCTTTCTGCTTCTGCTCAACGCTTTCTGAAGATGACAACTTAGAGCACTTAATTATTGATGATCGTCTTTCTCCTCATGCAAATTTCATCAATTCATAGAGATACCAACTGTAGCTCCCAGGCAGATCTGTATTTTCTTAATGTTCAGCAATGTAACAGAGCGACGCAGCTGTTCTGTCACTGGGAAAGAAAGGGGGCAGGGGCAGCGCTCTGCTTGGCCTTGAGAGAAAGAGAAAAATCCCATCATTTCAGCACCAGCTCACATGCACCAGGCTCCCTTCAGACGGCCCAGGATGTCCTACCTCCCCCAGGACACCCCGAATCCCTGAAGGGGCAGGGAGCAGGGGCTCCCGAACATTATTTCATTACATTGAGTGCTGCACTGCTTGATGAGGGAGGCCTTGCCAGGTGGGAGGGGGACTGTGGAATGAGGAAAGCAGTGAGAGGTCTCAGGGTGGGCAGCAGAGGGTTGGGTCTCCCCCGAGCCACTGGCTCTGGGCAAGACTTAGAACCTCACTTCCATCACCCCTCATGAACTGTCCTGCTTTGGAAAAGTAAATTTGTGTGGGACTGAAGGTTGCTCAGCCAAGGGAAGGATGGAGGAACTGCCTGACCCATCCTTCATTCGCCTGACTTTGATCCTCTTTCAAAACACTAGAATGTTCCAGGGTGGTCTGCACCCCTAACATTTCAGAAACCGAACCACATGCAGAAGAAATGAATGGGCCTCTCCATGTATATATTCAGGGAAAGGGCGTATAAACTAGATTACATCATGAAAGTCCTCGTTATTGATACTGAACGGACAACGTTTTTGTAGCAGAAGAGTGGAAGATGAAGCTGAGTAAATACATGTCTGTGTGTGTATGCACACACACTCACATACACATAAACACACACATGCTAATATATATTCACAGAAGAAAAGAGCATTAATAGAACATAAGGGCCCGAGGACTGCGAACTTAGCGGCACAGATGGTGTTTCCAAACTCGCGTGCTCTATTAGAAACACAGCCGTGGCTCTGTGATGGATAATATCACACACTCTGCTGAGCTCCGCAACCAGCATGTCCACGAGCTGGTCAGAAAAAGGCCCCTCCATACCAATCCACACGCAGAAGGGCGATCGCCACTGGCGTCTGGGGTTACCTGGCAGGCATGCCTACTATAAGCTGGGTCAGCAACCTTCAGGTGGATAGAGAGGAAACTAACACACAAAGACCTGTGGAGAGCCAGGAATACACGGGTTTTTCAGAAATAAAGACACCTCGCTTCCAGTCCCACCATTTCTATGGAAATTGAAGCAGGTCTTTAGGGTCTGTTTACTAATCGCTGAGTAAAGATCCACCAGCTCCACCAGCTCAGCTGACTGTCGACGCTTATTAGGGGCCACTGCAGGGGGACATCCCTTGATAAAGGCAGACACATCCCTGTGGGTTTTTGATGGGATGCTGGTGGCGTTGGGTACAGCCCGAGAACGCTGACATCCTGTGAGAAAAATAAATCTTTCTCTATGGAGATTCAACACACAGAAACCTGGGCTGGACAGTGAGGATCCCCGGGAACTGAAGAGGCCAGGACAAGAAGAATCAGTGTCCCATATCCTGAAAGTGGAAAGTGAGACATCTAAGCAGATGCCCTCTGGGGCACGGAGCTCTGCTCCAAGGCCAGCACGGCATGGTGCGTCCCTGCAGCCGTCGGCTCTCACTGCTTATACTTCATGGCACGGTTCCTTGTGTTCAGAACCTGTGCAATTCTTGGTGCATAGTGGACACTCAGCATGTTGAGTTGCCAGTGAACTGGCGATGGAGAGAAGGCCGCACTACACCTTCCCACGGGGTGTGGGAGTGGCAGGGATGCCCCAGGCAGCACTTGCCTTCCACATCCCTGCATTGGGCCCAAACACTTGCATTGAGGAGATCCTCCCTAGAACATGTTGGGGTGTGGAAGCTGTGGACTGGAGCTGGGCTGGAGAAGACAAGGGTGGTTAACAACAAGAGCAACAGCAAGAGAAATGGCAGCCACCTGGATGCCCCCGTGAGCTGGGGTCCCAGGGACACAGCCGGTGGCACTGTGACTCAGGCAACCACGTCTCCATCTGCCACTGATG